TGTTAATTTTTTTTTTTTTAAAAACGGAAAATAACTGAGTTGAAAATAATTCACTAAGAGTGTACTAGACGATCCTAAGGAAAGAAGAAGGAAAGAAAAGGAAAAAGGAAGGAAGGAAGAAAAGAAAGAAAGAGAAATGTATGACGATGACCCAATTGAGGGTGGAGATAGGAGTCAGAAAGAGATTTAGGTCAGCGTCTTGGCGAGGCCAATAAAAGTCATTTTGATAAGAATGTCGGTCAGAGCACTTGGCCTACTTTTTGCGTGGAAAGGCTCATTGGAAAAGGGAAATTTTTTTTGGGAACAAGAACAATTTAGAAACGAAAAATTTTCTTTGGGTTGAGGGGAGTGACCAGTGGAACGATATACAGATCTTGACCTGTTAAGAATTGGACACCCAACGTTAATAAAGTAGAGACATTTCAATGTAGATAATTAAGATTTTTCGACTATCAGGAAAAACAAAGAGGTAAAAAAGAGGGACAATTGCTTTTTGGCTCAGAGGGCGCCAAGAAGGCGGAAAAGATCCTTTCTAAAGTCAAGACTAATTAGCAGCGGGCTGTTTGACAAAGTCCAGGTGAGAGAAAGCCAAAGATTGTCATTTTGCGTACGTGCAAAAAAGGGCAAAAATGGATTTTTTTTTTTTAAACAAGAACGATGTAACCACGCCCGCCAAACAGAGGGAGAGGATGTTCGATCAATAACAATTGGTCGAATACGATCACGTGACCTGCGGAAGAAAAAGGAAAGAAATGTTCGATCAATAACAATTGGTTGAATACGATCACGTGACCTGCGGAAAAAAGGGAAAGAAATGCTCGATCAGGAACGATTGGTTGAAAAGCGGTCACCTGACATACGAGAGACTAGAGATGGATGGATGCGCGCCCCACCAAAGGTACTGCGAGGAAGTAGGGGCGAAAACAATAGCGATAATGGAGAAGACAGAATTAATGCAGTTTTTGAATTATCGAGAAAACCCTGACGCGTCAATACAGACCCACCCCAGTTTGTTTTGCGATGCAATAAAAAAGCAGGGCCCCAATCGACCTGAAAAAATCAGTTCATCCCCGGACGGCAGCTCAGAAAAGAACCCTCAGACAAGAAGAACTTCCAGCCCAAGTAGATGAAGAAGAAGATTGCCTGAAAGCCTGAGAAGAATTGGAGCTGAAGTTGGAGCTAAAGTCGATGAGAAGTTAAAGTTCAGCTCGGACGGCAGTGAGAAGAGACCACCTCAGACGACAGAGAGTTGCGGCTAAGTTGAAACAAGAAATCTTCCACCAAGTTGAAACAGGAAAACTACCAGCCCAAGCAGACGAAGAAGAAGAAATACAACTCAAGTCGGAGAGAAGAATCAACTGCGAATGATCGATAGAAATTAGCCCCCAGTGTCGAACTGAACCACACTCCGACATACATACATGATTCTAGAAAGTAGGTAATTCGACATTTTTCTATTGTGTGATAGAAGCTTGGTGCCATAGTCCACAGAGCGGGTCGGGAAATGAGAACAATTTTGTTTTTATGTAACGGACTTTAAGATATAAAAGGTTGTTACCCTTTTATCAGCAATTTTGTTTGGTGTCGTGAGTTTTTATTTTATTTGTGTTTTGCCACCCCGTCGGACTCAACTTGTATCGGCCTCGATCCCTGCTGGTCCCGTCTGTCTAAGATCTAAACACAGCGTGGGTAGACAGACCGGAGATCGGTATAGTTGCTTTAGTGACCAGGTATTGGAAGCGAGTCGGGAAAGGCGAGGCTGGTGATCATCTGACCAAAGGGTTGGAGCGGCACGCTTGGACCCAGGAGGAGCGACCAGGAGGAGCGACGTCACCGTTGGCGCCGTAACCAAAGGATCCGACACTGGGCCAGGTGTGTAACCATCACAATTTATCAATTTGATGTATAGAATCCAGTATCATAGGTAAATATAAAAAGGAAATGAATGGAAACTTTGTGATCCTGGAGGAGAAGGGAGATAATGCAAATAAAAAATTAGCAGTATAGTTAAGAAAATCAATCGCTTTACAGATATATTGCTTTGATCTTAAATTGTTAGAAATGCAGAGCAGTGTTAAAAAAAATTTTCACTTTATTTTCAATTTACAGGACAAAAACTCAACCTTTTCTCATGGATAAAAATTTATTATTTGTTTTAGTTAAACAAGTACAGATTAATTTTAAATCTGAATGTTAACATTTTTTAAATAAAAATGGAAAACTTAATTATGCCTCTTCTAATCATGTTTTTAATAGTCTCCATGGCTGATGAAAATTAACTTTTGCTTTTGATTTCTGTAAATGTATAATATGTGAAATTTTGATTGATATATAAAATAGCTGATAAATTTAAAAATGAAAAGGTGATAAATATAAATATCAGATCAAAAACAAAATGAATGAGGAAGTTGATTTATTAATTTTTAATTCTTTTTATATTAAAATTTTTATTAGAATAAAAATTATAAAGTATAATTTAATAGTTATTTAATATTATTGTCATAAATTTGTGGCTGCAAAGAAGAAAAGCAAATCTCAACTTGAAACAGAATTTGTACTCTCTGTGCTGTCAAAAAAGAAAATCAAGATCAGTAGGCCTTTGAAATATTGTAATCGTTTGCACTTGCCTATCAGTCTTGACCAATTACAACCTTTCTTACACCAGTAAAAGAATATTATTTTAGACCACAGGATTGCTTGGCTTTTTATAAGTGAAGAAGTTAGTTGTGCATTGTGAGTTGTGATGTTTGATTTTTTTTTTTTTATTTAAAACCTCCAGTATTTTCTGACATTGGACTTGAAAGACTGATTTATGACTCTTGGAATTATAACCTCAGACTTGTTTTTTTTTTAAATTTTTATCTGAACCTCCCTATCACGAAATTGTTATATAAAAAGGATGGAAATGCTTTAAAAATCTTCATGAATTTTTGATCTGCATTTCTTTCAAGGATCACAATGGATGTAAGCCATGAATTATAAATTCAAGATTAAAGGTTGAATCTGTTATGAAAATATTTACACTCTGATATTAATACCAGAGCTTGATGTTTAAACCCAGAATTTTAGCAACATTATTTCACTACCTATAATTCCTCCCATGAAGCTGTAGTAGGATTAGGTAGTAATAACACCATGTGAAAATATATACTTTCCTCTTTACTAAGTGAGTAATTAATTTCCTTCAACTAGAAGAAACACAACAACCCTGTATGAACTCTCAAATCACAAAAAAGAACTATGATGATAGGCAATCATTTTAAATGCTGTAATCCAATATAGTTGATAATAAATGGTACTATAGACAGTAAATTTGGCCTTTACTTCATCTCTACCATAAAACTTTGTGCTATACTAAAGTATAATAAAGAACATGAAATCAAAATCAAAGAATGTTGTTTCCAGTCTGAATAAATCAGTTATCATTTTTTGATAACATTTTAGCCATAGTAATTTATTCTTGTAATAATTATTCATAAATAATAAAAGAGCTGATTTGTTTTACTCTGCTGTTAATATTTTGTGTTTATTTGAATTGGTTTACATATCACATAATAATATTACAACTTCATTATCACAAATCAGGGAACCTATAATTTGTATATATTTGCTACTGTATTTTGTAGAATTTTCTAAAAAATTACTTCTTTTAAATCCATAAATGTGTTCCTGTTGAGAAGCAGATGAAATAATCTTAACAGTAGTGTAGTTCACTATTTACATTGCTTGGACTATCTTTCTCATCTTTGTTGCCATATTTATCACAACATTTTGGCTGTTGTATGCCCCAGCCTTCTTCAGGTGGTTGGAATATCAAACTGAACCCTTTATTTTGCTCACTGGGGTAGACTGTTCTAGTTCTACATGCCATGTTGTGATAAATATGGCAACAAAGATGAGGATGATAGAAAAATGTAAATAGTGTACATAATACGTAATCTCAGAAATATAGACAGATACTGGAGTAATGTAGTTTTTTTAAATTACCATCCATAATCTGTGTCTTATGGCAGTTTCATTATGTCATTGAAACAAATTTAACAAAACTTTTTTTTAAGATTAAATTTTTTATAATAATTTCTGCAGTTATTTTTAAAATTTGGCATGCATATTTTCATACATGCAGGTAAATAGGATTTAAAAGTTTTGTCATTTAGATGATACAAAATCATAAATTTGAAAATATCATCAACAAACTGTAACTTTTGTTCTACTTAATGAAATAATTTTTCATCTGCATTCACTTTGGCCTCACTTTTTAGCATTCTTAATCCATTTGATTGTATTATTATTATTTTCAATTTAGTGAATACTATTAGTCAAAAATGATTTCAATGCATTTTCTATGTAATGGTTTCTTTCGATGGCAATTTTGTGCAAACTAAACACCAAAGTGGATCACACAAGCCTTGAATAATTCTCTGACTTCTGATTGGCTAAAATATGTGTAAAACATTACAATGCCTATGCAGTTGTGTTCAAAGTTAATTTACTGCCGAAATCTGGTTATGTGTTTTTGAGCCTATCACATCTTTTGCATTAATTATAAATACTTGGACACCTCTTCATTCTCTTTTTTTTTTCCTTCTCAGACCCACAGCAATGTAGTTCAATAGAGAGATTGCGTTTTTTTCCCTTTGGGGAAAATGATATGAAATGTCATGACACACAAACACACATGCATCACATATCTATGAACATTTACTTCTTCAACAACAAGGACACAAAAATGGTGAAACAATGAGAATTTAACTATAACATACACCGCTACCAAATATTTTTCTCACTGTTTGATATTTATTTCCAGTCATGGAATTTTTCATCAGTAATAACTTATCTTGATTGAGAACTCACAGATCTCAAAACTCACTCTCAACACATTTTTATTCAACAGATTGCTCGGCAAGGAATTCTCCATAAATTTATATCAAATCAACTCATAAGTGTAAAGTTGAAAAGTTTCTCTTTAAACACGAATCACAACTTTTGATCTTCAACTTATGTTCAAGTATTTTTCTCACTCAACAAACTTTCAAGAATTATCTATGATGAATCTTTTGTGGAAGAACAATACTTTCTTCTTTGAAAACTTTCCTTTCAAACTAGAATCTACTTTTGTCATGTAATTTTGAATTATCTTATTTCAGATAAGAACGTAAACTCTGACAAAGAATCAATTTAACAGATAAAGGTAGACAACTCCTACCGCATTCTTAATATTAAAATTCTTAACTAAATGATTTGTTTAAAAACAGTTTGTTTGACCCCGAACTGATTTATTCATTACAAATCTTATATTATTTTGCACACACTTTGAACACACTAAACAAAGATACTTTTACCTTCCATAAAAAACATTTTTTGTGTGTGAAACATCAACTTTAAATTTTGCAACTTGGTATAAATTCCCTGAGTCATTTCAACATACAACTTTGTATATTATTGCAATATAAATGCTTTTTATTATTTATTGATAATATATTGTTGTCTTATATTTGTGGTGTTTGACAGCCTTGTGCCATACAAGTAAATTAAAATGTTTGCGGAGATGTTTTCGTTCACACAGCAAAAAAAAATAATACCTTCTGATCTACATTTTATTTAAACAAGCTAATCACTCCACAACAACTTCATTTGAATATTATTGATTATAAATTAATCATTTTCACTTTTGAAATTCAGCTGTAAATTGATAATTTTCAAAGTTTGATATGATATGACTCATTAATTAATTGCATTATGTATAGTGGTTATTGAATTTCAGTACATTATGACAGCTAATATCAACTGACCACAGAAATGAAGCTAATTGATTTGTAATTCTGTTCAGTAGTAGTGTAATATTGTGTAAGAAATTATGTACCAAAATCTTTTAGAAATTAGGTGCAATAAATTATAGGTAAATGATATCAGAATTATTTTGATTTTTAAGATTGAAAACTGAAACAGAATACAGGGATCAGTTTGAAGTTGAAGACGTTCTCTTTGCAGATCAGGTATGGTGTATATAAAATATGTGATTTTAATGTTTTTGGTTCTGTTGATTGGTATATTATATGAGGTATAGAAAGTGACTTCAGTTTGAATAAAGTTTGTGTATGAATTTATGAGATAGCTATTTATAAGAGGGAAATTACTTTTGATTTAATAAGCACAATTATTTAAATATCAAGTTAATTATATTTTGAATGTAAATATATATACATATGTAAGTACAGTCTGAAATGCTTATTTTCAGGTGGATCTTCAGAAAGACTATTTGTTTTCAATTCTTACTCTCAAAATAAGTGCATAAACCAAACAGTAATTTTCCATCATTTTGTAACTGTATATTTGCAAAGCCATATTATATAATCCAGTTTTTTGTGATTATAAATACAAAAATATTGTGAGATTCTTCCTCAGAAAGATCTAGATCTTTTTAGTTTTATGTGTCAATTCATAAGAGGCAATAAAAATGATGCTTAATGTCTTACTTCCTTCACACAGTAATTATTTTATTGATTTCAGTCTATTTTAATGAGGAAGAGTTTTTATTCTAGATTAATTTTTATTTTAAATGTCAAATTTTCATTATTTTAAGATATATTCCTGATATTTTACTTAAACATGGAATGCAAGAATATGGATAAAGCAGAAAGGAAATTTGTGTGTGTGTCTTGATTGTGAAATAAATTTTGATTCTTTGCTTTCTTTAATTCAATACAAAACATAAAAAAAACTATTTATAATCCACATATTTAGTGTAAAAAAATAGTTTAAATAATTTTTCATAAGTTCAATGACCTTATGTGGAAGTCAACCTATTTTAAAGTTTTATGAATAATTTTTATATTTATATTTGTTTTTAATTAATTTTTATATTTATATTTGTTCATTATTAACTTTTTCTTCAGATTTTGGAATTCTTCAGAAATGTCAAGCCCTCAATGATCTTAACTCTTGTGAGTTAATCTTTTGGATTTTATTTTAATTCTGTATTTTACAATAGAAGTGAAAGTATTAGTTCTTTTCTATTAAAACTTGCTATATATTCAAGAAAGTAAGTTGAATTGTTTTTATCTGTTGTTGTTTTCAGTGCCATTGTTTGCATAATGTTAAAGAAATCTTAGAAGTGTCTTTAAGTTTTAACACAGCTTTTTATTGCTTTTTGTTGTGCAATCTTTCAGCTGTAGTAATTCATTTACAAACCTTACAAAATAATTAATGTTTGGAAAATGGATTCCACACAAACTTACAGAAAGGAAATTACTGAAAAATGTGTTGAAAAATGTCACTTTTTGATAAGATAGTCACAAGTGATGAAAAATGAATTTATTATGAGAATCCAAAATGAAGAAAATCATGTGTAGATTCAAGATAGTTTCTAACATGTAAAAGTAAATGAAATCTATTGACTTTGGAAAAGATTCTTCTGTGTTGTACAGAATTCAAAAGAAATCACTGGAACTGAGCAAACTTTTATGGTGCAATGCAGCAAGCAATTGTTTCAGTTGAATAACGTTGGAAAAGAAAAAAAAAACTAGGTAAAGAAGTTGACTCGTGACTTTGTTGCATTGACAGTACCTGTCCTTTTATTGAAAATATGATGGAGCTAGAATGGGAAATTCTTCCACTTTTGGTATTTTCTTCAGGCCTCTTACTTCACACCTTGTCTAGTCAGTGGTTCCAATAAATTAGAGAATTAGGAACATTTCCTCATGTAATTCATCAAATCAGAATGAGTATTGTTCTTTCATTACTTAGCTGAATAAATGGACTAAGATCAATGAAAAACACAGAAAATTTTGTCCTATTAGTATCATTTGAAATCTGATAGCAATGTTTTTGCTGTTTTAAAATTCTTACATGATAATAATACATGCAAATACAATGTTAAAATTCATGAGACAAGTAAATGCTAGTATGGTTTAAAAATTCCTAAAATTCTTTTAATCATTTCTCCTCAAGCAAGTCAGGAATGCTACTAGTATGCAGGTGTTTGCAGGGAGTGAAAGTGAGAGAAAAGACTAAGTATAGGGAGAATTAAAGAAAGGACAAGAGATGATTGAGATTCAAGAAGGTAGAAGATAGTGATTGATGTTGCATTTAAATTTTTGAAGATTGTAGTGCCAAGTTTAGTTTAGTTTTTCCTTCCGCTTGTGCTGTTAGGCGTCACAGGTAGGCACAGTCGCGTGTCAGTGGCAAGGTGAGTGGTCTGGAGGAGAGATATCTCATGGGCTCTGAGAGTATCTGCCACTGGGTCGCTCCAGCATCTTCTTGGTCTGCCTCTTGCTCTCCAGCCAGAGTACCTGAATGTGTATGCTTGTAGGGCTGGTTGGTTGGTAGGCAGGCATACAAGTGAGGTGTCCGAACCACTTGATCCTCTGTTGTTTGATGTGTTGTATGATTGGTATTGTTCCTACCATATCTTTTATTGTCTCATTCCTGATCGTGTCTTGCCTGGTCTTGTTCCCTATTTCATCTCACAAGTGATCAGTTTCCTCTCAAGGGTCTTTGTTAGGGGCCGTGTCTGGCACTAGTATGTCCTCATTTGTAGGAAATTGGCATTGATGAGATTTGCCTTGGTGCTCATGGAAATGCTAGGATATTTTAGAAGAGGAGCAAGTTGGTAACTGATTGTGTAGTATCAAGGAAGCACGTAAGCAGAAGGGAGTTACACAAGCAGGAAATGCAAGAAAAGAAACTGTTGGAGTAGAAGTGGCAGTTGTATTTAGCTAATTCAACAGTAAACATATGGGACCTAGATGCCAATTTAGTGGTAAACATTGTTATCATTGCAAACATGCTATGGATAGATTTATACTAATTTGATCAATAAAATACGTCTTTAAGGAGTGGATATCTGTACCAGAGTGGGCAGTTTCATGTATTGAAGTTGGAATAATGTGTTCTTGATGTAAGTACATTGTTCTTCATTCTCGATTGACTGGTGACTCATTTTAGTCCTCCCATATGAGTTATGTCTCCTTGATTAGAAAACGTTTAAGAGGTTCTAACACTGGATCAGAATTTTCTCTTGGTTCAGTTAAATGTAGTTCAAAGTTTGTGTTTACACTTCAAATAGTGTAAGGCTAGAAGGTTAAACTCTTATCTATTCATTATTCATACATTAGGTTTTTGTGTATAATATTGCATTTATTTTCAATTTTTAGCATGGCCTGAATACTGATAGTCAAAAATACAGTGAGCCTGCATCCTTTGAAGGAATGAATGAGTAAGTAACCTTAGTTTGGATTTAAAATATTAATTTATAGAATGAATGCAAGAATTTTTCTACATATCTAATTTATTTAAAAGTTTCGGTCTAATGTACAGAAAGCCCTAAAATTTTTTTAACTTTTAAAAATTGCAAATAAGACTAAGATTGTTCTTTGGCATTGACATTAGATGGTACTGAAAAGTTTTCAGTCTAACCCACTTCAGATCAAATGACCAAACATTAGAATTATTATTAATGAAACCCTTCTTGGCTTTTCAGCATCTCCTTGTGTTTACCTATTTTACTACCTTGTTTTGCTAAATGATTTCAAACAAATTAATTTTCCTACTAGTGTAATATATGCAGCATTAAATGTCTAGAAACAAAAAGTAATTCAAGATTATAGTATTTTTATTCTTTGTAGACAGGAAGAATATATTCTTTTCTTCATAGAGAATTCAAGCTTATCAAAACATTAATTACATACTATATATATTTTGATTTCTTTCTCTGTTTAAGATGCCAGATTAAAAATAAAATATTAATTTTGACTTAATTTTCACTTTTTTTTATATTCATCATTTTTTAGGTTCTGTGAAAACAGAGAAATTCTACATCCAGAAATTAGTGAGTGGTGAGTAAAATTATTTTCCATGAAATATAAGAAATCTACTCTATATGAGAAACCATTGCTATATATGGACTTTAATTGCCTTTATCAATGAAATATCTGTCTCATTAAGTATTTTGTTTTCTAATTTTTTAATAAAAAAGAATGCTGTCCAATTGAATTTGTAAGAAAGGTCTAATTGGTAAGTTGTTATTTTTCATTTCATGGAACAATAATATTGAAGAATTATTGAAAAAGCTACATATGCAAAATGAAAAGAATGGGCTGAAAAGTTTATAGGCTGATTAATGAAGGGGTGATGCTAGAGCTGTGAAATTTTGCATGCATTAATTTTAACTGTTCTTATTAATAACTGCAGTGTTTCTTTCCAGACATCTGGTTGTTCGAGGAAGACTCTTTATTCTGTTTGTCAAAAAAAGTCATCAACAGTTGATATGGCATCATCATCATTGTGATATTGATTCCCACCCATGTGTTTTTTCATGTTGGAGAAAAGATGATAGTCAAATCAGGAGAATAGGGAGGTGATCAACCAGGGTTTGTCACTTCTGCTTGGTGGTGGGTTTTGTGGATTCATTCTTTTGCTATGACTACTAGGGTTACAGTGAAATTTTCTGCTGTTTCTATGTTATAGTTTGCCTTTACGTAATTTTCCAGTTATTTTTTCCAGTCAGTTTTGCTTAGCCTCCCTCTAGGTGGGTGTTCATTGATCATGACAGTTCATCAGGATTATGGGCAAATGATTATTACTGCATGTATCTGTTGAAGAAAAAATAGTGGGAACACCACATTATGAATGAATGAAAAACATCCTACCTTAACTTTTGGTGGTGACAGAACAAACAACATTCATACGAGAAGCAATAACAAATGAGACATTGTTATGATTTTAGGGCACGGTAATTAATCTATTTATTCAGCATGGCTCTCTTACAACAACTGAAGAAAAAAAGGTGGGGAAGATTAACAATATCCATGTGTTTAGCATGTCCATGGTACTAAGAATTTTTCGCCATACAGATAGTTGATTGATTGTCCTCATAGATGACTGTTGGTTCAACTGAAGTTTCATTGACAAGATGTAACCAAACTGCTTCTTGTGCTGCTCTTGCTACTGCTATAAACTCAGCTTCTGATGTAGATAATGCCACACAGGTTTGCTTTTGACTTTTCCAACTGACAGCACCTCCACCCTGTTTAAACAGGTAGCCAGTGTTTGATTTGTGATCATTTATATCACCAGCCCAGTCTGCATCTGAATATCCTATGATGTTGCTTGTTTCTCCACTACTGTAGAGTAAGTTTTAATTCCGTGTACCATTCAAATATTGCAGGATATGCTTAACAGCTGTCCAATGTTCTTTAGTAGGTTGGGAACAATATCTGCTACAAAGCCAACAGCATAAGCAATATCTGGTCTTGTCCTCATTGATAGATATAGTAAGCTTCCAATTGCTGATTGGTAAACCTCTTTGTCAAATAATTCACTGTCACTGGTTGCTTTGGTTAGTTTCGCTTCAGCATCATACGGAGTTGTAATTGGTTTTGAGTTTCCATCTGAAACTTTTTCAAAACTTCCGCTGTGTATGTGGGTTGACCAATCCAAATTTTTCCTGATTCTGGATAAACAACTTTAACGCTTAAAAAGTAGTGTAGTCCTTGATGTTGAAATTCTCAAATTTTTCAGAAATTTATAGATGCATGTGAAGACTTGCTCTAAACAATAAGGTTATCGACATAAACACCAATCATAAACATCTCTCCTTCTGAAGATAATGTATATATGTACGGATCATTTTTTAATTGCTTTAGACCCATCTTTTTCAACTGACAGTCAAGTTTTTCATTCCAACATCTTGGCGATTGTTTCAGGCCATACAGGTTTCACTTTAGTTTACATACATGATGTTCTTTTCCTTTCATCACAAACCCTTCAGGTTACTTCATGTAAATATCTTAAGTTCACCATTCAGGAATGCAGTAGTTATGTTAGCTTCAGGTCATATTTTGCTGCTAATGCAATAATTGTTCTTACAGATTGAAATCTCACAACAAGACAAAATGTCTCATCATAGTTGACTCCATACTTTTGATTTAAACCTTGTTGTGCTACCAGCCTTACTTTGTCATTTCATGCTTCCATCAACATCATGTTTTTTGAAAACCCACTTGCAACCAATAGCTTTTCTTCCACTTGGTAGTTCAACTAAATCCCACACTTCATTTGTGTGAAGTGACTCCTTTTCCATTGCTTTCCTCCATTCGGCTTTCTCAGGACTGGAAAGAACTTCTTTCATTGTTAAGGGGTCACTTAATCCATAAGTGGTGTTAGCTCATTTACCATATAGATCAGGAGGCTTCCTCATTCTTTTCAATCTTCGAGGCTCTGTAATTTTTTCTAAGTTGTCATCTTCACTTTCACTGGTATTTTGGCATTCAATTTCTACAACAGAATGTTTTTTTGTCTCTGTCATTCTCATTTTCTATTTGTTCAACTATTGGTCTTGACTCATTAAGGATTACATCTCTACTGTAGAGGACTCTCAGTTTTTCAGTGTCGTAAAGTCTATAGCCCTTAATGCAAAACCTGAGGAAGATGTTTTTCTTAACTTTAGGGTCCATTTTCTTTCTTTCATCCTTTGGTATGTGAGCATAAGCTCTGCATTCAAATACACATAAGTGTTTTATTTTGGGTTTGTGGCCTCTCCATACTTCATATGGTGTCATTTTGTGTGCTGCATTTGTTGGACTTCTATTTCAAATATATGTTGCTGTAAATAAAACTTCCGCGCAAAATTTTTTAGGTAACTTAGAATCAGACAACATTGCTTGTACTGTTTCTACCAATGTTCGATTCATCCTTTCACTTACTCCATTAGTGTCTTACTAACAGTATATCCATGGCAAATACCTTCTTTTTTCAAATAATTTTCTATTTCTCCTGAAGTTTATTCTCCACCATTGTCTGTGCATAGTACTTTAACTTTGTGTCCACTTGATTTTTCTTCTATGTTTTTCCATTCTAAGAATTTGTTAAACACTTTTTCTTTGTGTTTTAGCATAATGCCCAAACATATCTGGATTTATCATCAACTAGCAGTAGAGCCCGGCGTTGCCCGGGGATGTAACAGTAAGAGATAGATCAAGTATCGACCATCATAAAAACTGAAAAATAAAATTGACAAAGATTATTGTTTAAGGTTGACGGACATGCATGTCTTAATTAGTTTTTTTTTTAGTTTTTTTTAGTTTTTTACGAATTGGTCAAACCCAAACTCACTCACAAAAACATTGTTTTCAATCGTTATGAGTCTATCGATTGAATAGAATTTTATTATAAACAATTGTCTTGTAAATGGAATTTTTAAAGCATTCTGAATGTAAAATAAAAGAAAAAAAGTGTGCAAGACAATAAGAAACACTACCTACCAAAAAAAAGTGAATTTTTATTGAAATCGGTTGAACAATGTAGGAAATCCTATCCCATATATAAAGGAACACACACACACACACACACACACACAAACAACCTGGGTTTTATAATATACCCCTTTCATTCTGGCGACAGAATCATGTTTTATCGTGTTTTCAAATTGATTTCGTGCAAAAACAATTGTGTTTTTTCAATTTTTGGCACTGTCAGAACCACCACAAGGTAATTTTACGCAGTCCTGTGAAGTTTTGTTGAAATCGGTTGAAAAATGTAGGAAATCTGATCCAATATATAAACGTACAGACACACACACACACAATCTGCATTTTATAATAAGTAAGATAAGATGAATGTAGCAAAGTATTCACATCCACTTAATGATTTCTCCTCAATTTTTCCACATACATTACTGTGTACTACTCTGAGCAGTTTGTTGGATTTTCTCTCAGCATATTTTGGAAATGAATGGCGATGGTGTTTTCAACATGCACATGGTTCACAGAAATTCAAATTTTTTGTGACATCAAAATCCAAGCTATTTACCATGTTTTCTCTAACTAATTTTTGCAAATTCTTTTCTCCAAGATGACATATCTTCTGTGCCAAATCTCTTCTCTAGTATCATTGTTTGAACATGTTACAGCTGCATGAGCAGACACTTGTTTTTCCTCAAAGTTCAAATAATATAAATTTTTAAATTTGGTAGCAGTGGCGATGATTTTTCCTTTTTCATCAAGTATTTTACAGCTATGGTCAGTAAAAACAAATTTTTTGCCACGTTCTGTGCATTTACAAATGCTTAATAAGTTGCAGGAAAGTTTAGGCACATATAAAGTTTCGTATAGATAGCATCCTCGCTGTTTTTTGTTTGGTAATTTCAATGACATTTCAATAGTTTCCTTTCCAAGGGCTTCCACCAAGTTGACATCTCTCTTGTGCTACATCAAAACTTTCAAAATTCATAAATTTTTCAGCATCATAACACATGTGACAAGTCTCCCCCAAGTCAACAATCTCTACTTCAGCTCTTTCTTATTTGTGAATAGAGCATTAGATGCCACTATTCCAATATGCCTGTCATTCTCAATGTTGCCCAAATTTCCTCTTGAATTTGTTATGTTGCATGAGTTTCTTTTTGTGTTGTAGTTCTTTTTAAATGAAGTCTCTTTTCTTTCTTCTGGTTCATGGAATTCATGACAGTGTCCATATTTTCCGCACTGAAAACACTTTGGCGATCATCTTCGTTGTTGACTTATATGATGTGTCATCATAACTTTCATTTCGTTGCTATTAACCTCCTTTTGTTTAATTTTTGTCTCTTCGTAAAGTTGACTGTAGACGTTCTGTTACAATTTCCCAACGTGGAACGTCTGCATTAGCTTCCAACGCTGTCACCAACATATTGAATGAATCAGGCAGGCTTGCTAGGAGATATACAACCTGGTCTTCTATATGATACATAATTCTTCAAAAATTTCTATCACCATTTTGATATGGCTCTGAACGGAATTTCCTTCTTTCAACTAGAAAATAGTCTCTTTCTGAATGTTATGACATTATGATTTAAGAG